TGCCGCTGCCGCTGTAGCTGTGTGCAGCTGCTCTTCTCAACCTATCCGGCCGCTCGCCAACCTCCCCCCGTCCCCTCTCCCTTGGTTCTTCTTTTCCCCCTTCCCCTCCCCCTTGCCCATATATACACACATACATACATACATACATACATACATCGCCAGGCGACATTCCTGATCACCGCGACCATGCAAGTGAGATCTGAGGGGATTGGTTGGTTGGTTGGGAGGGGGGAGAGAGATGCACGGGGGTTTTGTGGGGAAACCACTCATGCGTTGTGGTGTACGGCGGGTTGTTGCGTGGGGACGCAGATCGGATGACGGGTCGTACAGATCGTCGTACAGGCCGCCCCACAAGGTTATGTTGTATCCGGTATGTGGTTTATAAAGGTGGTCCGTTGGATCCGTCTTCGTCTATACGCGGGAATGAAATACGCATAAGCCCCTCACGGCACTGACACCCCCCCCGCCGGTCCGCTCCCGCACCCTCACGCCGCAGTGCATGGGATGGTGTATGTCCATGTTATTGCTCCCGATTGTGCCGCGGAAAGAAGCCGGACTGCAGGCTGCCTGTCGTAGCGTGGCATCTGCCGCCAGTGGCGGCGGAGGCGGCGGCAAGCGCATCAACCAGCCGCCGCGGCAGCCGTCGCCGCCGCCACCGAGTCGCCGGCGGGGTGCAGCCAAGCCAACAGCAAGCGGTTGAACGGCTTGACTAGCACGTGGACAGTTGGGTCACAAGTTGTGCGCGACGGCGGATTTGGGACGTGGGAACACCTTTTAGCGATTGCGTTAAATTTTGGGGGCGAAGCTGTCCATGATCATCATCCTGGGGAGTCTGGCTCGATTAAATTAAAGAGATTTTCCAATCGTAAAATGTTTGGACGGGTATGGCGCCTCGTGCTTACGGCCTCTGGACTAGACCGGGGAGTCCTGTCGGTTGCAGCGTCACAGATCTAGTTATAAATTGCGCTTCTAGACCATGTTCTTATCGGACGATGAACCATGTTTTTCGGTTAATTCGTTGTTTGTTTGGTTGGTTGGTTGCCTGGCTGAATTAGCTGTTTTCCTTTCAACTCCTTGCGGTATATCTCCACCGGATCTAATAATTGTTTTCGACATGTTACTGGCGCTGTCGCTTCTACTCCGCATGTAGATCTGTAGGCATGTAAAGCCCCTTAAACACTTTCAAGTAGTCACAGCCAAAAGTCGTGAACGAATGCGGGGTGCGGGTGAGAAAGGAAGGTGGCCCCCAACGCCGCGTGCGGCGTGAGAGTTTGGTCTTACGCTGCAGTTGACACTGAAAGAGCGATGCGCCGCATTAACAGCCCTAGCGGGCCAGTACTTACGTGCCTGCGCCTGTGAGGGGGCATGTCCGCATCCCCCCATGCCCTTCAAAAATACTTTCCGGGTCTGCGAGGCTTGGTGGCCTGCTAGGTGTGCTTTAGTAGGCGAAAGGGAGGAGGCGATCCCTTAGGTGTTCCTTCTCGGAGGTGCTTAGGTGCGTCTTTGGTGTTTCTTCTACGACCACTTAGGTGCTTCTTCTCGGAGCAGTAGCGGTTGCCTGCAGCTGTTGAGGGAGCCGAAGGGGCATAACTCTGATTGGGGCGTTGGGAGTCATAGCTTTGCAATTTAACTGGCGGAAGTAGGAAATACATGTCAGCGTCCAAGGTGGAGAACATGGAGCTGCACGGGGAAGTTCCTTCTCACATAGTTATGTATAATTGCTCATAAAAGAGAAAGCTTGATGCATTTTCTACAAACGCCACTGCAAAGAGTGCACGCATGCATGGATAGGGGGGCATGCTGGACCGCTACTCGGAAGCTCGTAAGTTGCGCTACCAAGCATAAACTGTAATCCATTTGATGATCAGGACGGCAAGTTAGATAATTACGAGAAGGCTAATGTTACAAAGAGTACAAGCCCAAAATGTCGAGTTGCGAAGTTGCATCGATTTTCGGAAGCCTGTATCGTAAGCACGAGGTAACTTGAGACGATGTTTGCAAAAATAAAAAAATGTCAAATTCATGCCCGCCACCGCGGTTGTTCACGCTGCTGTTATGAGTGCAATTGCAACAGCTCCGGCAGGCTACAACATCCGTCGCCCTGAGCATCCTGAAGGTCATGAATTTTGAAGCTGTACAGCGCACAAAAGCACGTACTGTCAAATAATGAGACAGCGCCATGCGCGATGCGGCTACACAGCGTGCCGTACAGTTGACGCCACTTAATGGAACCTCCAGCTATGCGGATTCGGTATAATTTCCTTTGCCACAAAATAAGGAAACCCTTGGTAAAGCCAAGTCACATTACAAATAGGTGGATTGCCAACGCAACTTGAGTTGTGGTCGGCAGTCTGATATGCGCTACATAAAGCAAAATGCACTGCTGACACTCCATTTGACGATTAGCCTAGGTGTTGTAACATCTGTAGATGTGAATGGTCTATTTTCATCGTGGCTGTGCCCTCCTGCATTTGCTGGCAGTGGAGACAGCAGCAGCTCTGTGTGCTTAGACCCAGAATTGCAACAATCCCTTGATACATTTCTTTTTATACAAACTCAACGGGAGCTTGATCGACTTCTCAACGCCAAACCAGAAGATTTTGGAACCGGCTTGTTGGCGGGAATTTTAACCACCGCGTCAGGTTTGCTCGATGCTGAGGGCGAAGGCGCCTTCACAAAAGGACTTACGGCATTGGAAGAACTCTTGGCGCTTCTGCCGGAAGAACCCCACATATGGCCCCTGGCCCGCCGGGTGACTATCGCCAGTCTCGCACTGCGTTATGGGAAGCAAGGCCCCTTCGGCTCAAGGACCGAGGCAGCGAAAGTTCATAGCGTCTTATTGCGGGTGCGCCTTCTTCCTTTTCTGTACTAGGACATCGTCGCCGCGCGTTGCACCTGAATGTAGCCAGGACGCGTTGTTGCCCTGCATGCAGCTGTACGACCATTTTAAGCAGTCTGCAAGGCGAAAGGGCGTGGTGGAGTTCACGCACGTCAGCAAATCGGGCGGCACGAGCTTCTGCCAGCTGGCTAAAACCAATGGCTGCAACACCGAGGACTTTGGATATCACAACTGCCTCATCGAAGAGTTTGACGATAAGGTGAAAGACAGCCGTCGTACCGCATGAGAAGTGCATAATTTTGGTTTGCTTGGTTGGGCTTCCCTTTCTATTAGGATTTTTAACAAATCATCTACCGGAATGCTGATGGGTAAGGGAGGGTACCTAAGCTTTGGCAAAGCGTACAAGCTTTATTGTGCATTTCCTGCATAGTGTGCTTGCTGGCTGACAAGAAAAGCGCGATTGCGATTTGGGTTTTGCAGCATTTCTAAATCCTCGTAACTGATGCCCTCGACAAGCAAAAGGGAAGAACCCGACCGGGCGAGGCGAGCTGTGTCCATCACCTGCCAACGTTCAAACGCTTTAAGAGACTGGACTGGATTGGACATGCGAATAAACCTCTTTGCCACAAAGCATATTGTTTTACTATTATATACTAATAAAAAGCGAAGGAGAGCGCCGCTGTAGTTACAGCTGGCATACAATTTTAATTCTTCTTACTTCAAAAAAAGAGCGCGGGCGCGGCCGGGTCCCTCCCTGCGTTTCGCTCCCCTTGCAGCCGCGCTACTTCGATCCGGACGTCCATAGACAGCTATCCGTCACGAAGACCAGGACGGTGAAGAAGACTCACTGTAATGAACCCTTCAAAAACATAAGATATCGCGCCATGGAAGTGAGCTGTACCGACCGGCGGACTCGGTTGTTGGAGCTCGGCTACACCCTATACGCCAACGAATACACGGCCCTGGGCGGCACGGAGGACCCCGCGTTGGCGCACCCCTGTCGCAACATGGTCACGGTGTTGGAGGTGCGGCGACGTGTCTGGGACTTGGGAGTGTGCCGGTGTAGGGGATAGAATCGGGCGGAATCGGTTCTGCCACCACGACGGCAGCGGTTCCCAGCCCTCCTCTTCTGTTGGAGATTCTCGTTGGCTCTCTGCCTCCCTTGGGTGTCCTGTCTGCTGCCTACCTGCATGCCTACACAAATAGTCCAGCTAGTCCTTGTTGTACTTTTGGAGCTTTGTGCAGTACCGGGTTTGTTGTAGTGTTGTACGCTGTACGAAGTCTTACGTTCTGCAACTTGGGTTGTGTCATGGTAGTTACTGTCAGATATCCACTATAGTTGCTGTCGGATTACCATTAGTTGACAAAATCATTCCAATAGTCGACAAAAAAATCCCTTTTTAGCGGCGGAAGCGCGCGGAAGAGCTGGCCACCGTTCATGAAGGCCCGGGGCCCCGGTTGACCGCCTCCTCCCTGCCTGCCTGCATCATTCTCCCTGCCTCGCACTTGCTTGCTTGGTCGGCTTGGCTGTCTGGGCACCCACTGGTCCTCCAGATTCGTCATCCCTACAGCCGCGTCATCTCGCACATCAAGCACGGCTGGTTTACGTACGGATGGAAATGCAAAGCCGACAGGGAGAAGGTCTACTTTCGGGGGGGCCACAACGCGAGTCAATGGAACGCCCTGATGCCCGCGGCCACCAACAACTACCTCATCCGGTCGTTGCTGGGCGAGGCGGTCTTCAATCTCCCATTGGGTGCAATCACCCGCGAACATCTGGACCTGGCGCGTAACTTCCTGGCCGAGCAGTACGACGTCGTACTGGTTCTGGAGGATAAGCCTCTGTTCGCGCATACCCTAAAATACGGCCTGGGCTGGGCTATCAGCGAGCGACATGCCAACAGTCGACCTGACAATGAGGAGAGCAACGGGGGACTGCCTGCGGACCTGGACAGCCTTTTGGGGCACAATTCATTGGACGTAGAGCTCTATCAGTTTGGTGTGGTTGTGGCGCGACTGGACGGGATTATGTACGGTGCAGCGGCGGCGATGGAGGCGGGTGGTGGTGACAGGGCGCTATTGATGTCGCGGTCCAGGACGGTCAGCGGCGGTGATGGAGGCAACAACGCGCCACTGGCTACGGCAGCTCCGAAATCACGACAGAAACGGTATAGCAGCAGCAGCAGCAGAGGTGTTCAAATATCGTTCCGCGGGATGGTTATGAACATCGGGGGAAGCGGGGTGAGAGGAGGTCGCACTGATGTGCCGGCCAGTGTGGAGGGTGCAGCGGCTTCCCGCGACCGATTGGGCCGATTGGGCGTTGTGGCAATGTCTGTAAGTGCTGCTGGCGACAGCAGCACTACCGGCTCCCTTTTCCCCCCTTGCGGCTGGGTTGGGGAATCCAGTTAGGAGATAGGTGTGGTGCGCGTATTTCGGAGGTTTTTTTGGCTATAATGCTGATATTGTGCATTCCAGATTCGCTGATTCGCATTGCCAGGAGGGCTGGTGGTGGCGCTTGCTAGTGGTATAGCGCTTCGGTCGCGCTGGTAGTAGGTTGCTGGTAAGTAACAGAATGTGGTGAGGGATGGCGCCCAGAAGCTTCGCAGAGGATTAAACAGCAGTTTAGGGACTGGTTTACCGGGCGCACCTGCGACTGGGGCGCACAACCTCCTCGGTATGGACTCGATATGTGTGCGCTTTAGGGTGTTGGTGAATGTGGTCCAGTTGGTCTAGGTCTACTGCGCGTCGGGAGCAAATAAGCATACATACATATATACATGCATATAGACATACGCATTTCGATTGCACCTGTAGTGTGGCGCTGAAGTGCGTGATGAAATGATAATCTGCAGCGAATTAGCAGCGAGTCTTGTGCAGCGTGTCTATCGTTTCAATGGCGTGAGAAGGAAGTACCCGACATGGCATAGCGTTCATGTGCCATCGTTTCGGATTTTTTTGGCGTCTGTATGTGCGTCTGTATGTGCATGCACAGAGAGTGACACCTGATGATAACATGGGTCGAACTGCTGACGTGGATCTTTGAAGGTTTGCCCGGACATGCTGTTACTGTTGTGGCTGTTTTGGAAACGAATTATGACATTTCAGTGTACGAGCACCAAGAAGTGGATTGGCCTTGTCCGTTACAGCTTTAAGTGTTGTACGTGTGAGGTGTGAGGAAGTTTCATATTTCTGCGACAGGTGATGGCGCTGTGCGCTTTGCAAACTGGAAAACAATATATTTATTACTTGCAGGTCGTCTAGTTGGGCAGAAGATGCATATGCGCATGCATGGCGAACAGCATGGATACATGCATACGCGTGACGTCCGTATGTATGTACATCCAATAGATGTACAGCAGTGCGCATGGCTGGGGAGTTCGGATCAAAACTGTCGTCCTCACGCACTTGATTTTTTTCCGTGCTGAAGAGGGTTACTTACACTTAAAATGTCTGTCATTATCATTACGGGGTCTTTGTTCTTACTGCCATTAAATGACCCGTAATGTCCGACACCTTGGCGTGGCGAGTGAACTGATCTGTGCTTGGCTTGCCGACACAACGATAGCCTTACATTACGATAGCGGTAGCTTTTCGTGACATTACACGCTGTTTGAGGCTGGAAATCTAGGCTTTTAGAACTGATGCTCCAACGAGCTGACTTGGAGTGACCATTAGAGGATGTATGTGATCGGGCTGTATCGGCGAACCTGAAGACGCCATGCAGCAGCCCGGGTCTGTATATAGCGCCCATTGATTTCTATTTACTGTACGAGGCCGATGTGCCCATCGGCGCCACGTGGAATCGCGGTTTCGTTGGCGAGCTGTTCGATACTGTTCAAAGCTGGCGCCGACTGCTGGGTCGCGCAGGAGAGGCCTCTGGGCCATCTGCGTGATTTCCAACGTGTGTGAGGAGCTGCCAAACCAGGATGATACACCCACCTGGGTGAGAGGGGGGAGTTCCGACACCACGGTATAACCCCACATGTGTAGCCGTGAGGATTGTTGAGGGTCAGCCCTGGCCCCGAAAGACATTGTAGGAACTCCTGTAGCGCTGTGTGTCGGAACTATCTCGAGATATCTTTGCGAATAACCAAAGGTTTTATTAATTGAATTTTGCAGTGTCTTGGAAGTGAAGAATAGAGCAGCTCGAGCTTTGTATCTTTAAATCATTTGTGCGATGTTCCGTAAGGCCATGTATGTATGTATGTATTACTCTACATAGCATATACGTCCCCGATCCATTCGAAAACGGACTGCAAGGAATGGGACTCCCGTGAAATGGTCAGGGATAGGAACGGAGCTTAGTCATCAGGCTATTGTGAGGCTGTGCAGCTGTACACGGAGCCCGTGGAGAGCAAGGTGCCGTGGCGGGTGCCAGACATAGAGTGCATGTTGGCAGCCATCTTCGAGGCCTGTCGTCATGTAGCATTAGTTGGATGGAATTAATTACAAGGGCGGACAGGAAACCGACCCACATCACTAGCTTACCCACATCCCGCTTACAAGGCATATGGGCTAAGTACGATGGTGACCTAGTCTTTAAGGGGGCCAGCATGCGCACCATTATGACTGAGGCGCCACCCCAGGCATTGGCCAGGTACCTCTGGGAGGCCAGGCAAGTCGCGCTGAGGCGCTTCACCCTGAAGCGGACGAGGGAGGATGATGATGGCCTCCCGTGTACCCGCATCAATAGCAATATAACGTCCATGGCTCCCCCGGCTTTTACGGACACACCCGCACTTGTGTGCGGAACTTGTAACTTGTAACTAGCCGTACATGCCAGCGGTTGACAAATAACCAACCTAACCCAGGGCACATATTCCCAGCAAAAAGCAGGGTACCGTGCATTCGCAAGTACCAAAAGTCCACAAGCTCACATGCCTCAAGAAGCAAAAGAGAGGGCACAGCGGACACCCGGACTCTCGGACAGGGTGCTAGGACGAGGAGAGGGACAAGGAGCCAACCCGCAACGCTATAGCCGAGACACGTGCGCAGACTCTGTACGGGAGCCGGGCAGGCGCAGGTACCCCCAAGGGCCGCATACACCAAGCCTACATCAGATTGCCGCCAGCGACTTAAGGCAGGGAGCCCTGGGAGGCAAGAGTTGGGGTTCCCGAAAGACAAGACGGCCGGATATACATGCCAGGAAGAGGTGAACAGGGGGGGCAGGTTCCCAACTCCATGTGGGCACCCGTTCCCTTGACAGGACATGTTGTACGGCAGCGCGCATAGCCATTTGGGACGGAGGCGTCGAGTTCGCGTGTTGCACGTGTACGAAGGTGAAGGTGAAGGTGAAGGCGAATTTTCCTCCGATAGCGCAGCGTGTGACGAGAAGTAGGAGCCACAAAAATAGATAAAGCAATATTGTACAGCAGAGCGCATAGGCAGGTGAGACAGAAGCCTCCAGTTCGTACATCGTACAATTACAAGCAGTTCACTGGACGACGGCATGTTCGATGCCTTGTAGGGTGCGGCCTCGGTAGGGTAGGGTTACCGAGGAGCTACCTGCCTTTACCCTACCCCTGCCACTTTACCCTACCGGTGGGTCCACTGCTCGCATGTTTCGGCCCTCGGCATGTTTCGGAAATTCCTTGGGAGGCCCCGCCAAGCTTATTTAAACTCCAATCCAGCTAAAAGGCTCGAAATTTCCCGTTATCTCGGCTTTAATTGCAGGCCGCAATTACACGCGGGACATAGCAATGCAGAGAGAAGGCACGGACAATTGCGGGACTGGGGCGCCCAGTCGATGCGCTGCTGAAGGAGTTTGTTGGCGAAGGAGTTTGTTGGCGGATTGGGAACGGCTGGAGATCGCAGTGGAGCCCGGGGGGCTTCCTAAAGTATACGGGGAGGGATTTGAACTTGGTTGGACAGAACAGGCGTCACCGCCTGTCGCTATAAAATGTGGATGGGAGTCGAATACACGACAGAGGATCACAAGTCGATATAAGGGCACCTAAAGGTGAGCATGCCGAGAGCAGTCAACACCACCCTGGTGCGTTTTCGCCCTGGCAAGTGTCGCGGTTTGCACGCCAACCCCGGCCGTAAGCCACGGGGGGAACGAACGTGCCCGGGTTGTGGCGGGAGCCAGGTAGAAGAGCACGAGCTACATACTCGTGCTGCTGATGGAATGTCCTGCTTATGTTCCGCTGAGGCGAGCAGTTGATTTCCCTACGGATGTAGGAACGAAGATATGCGCAACGAAGCTGGGAAGCATACTGGTGCAAAATCATAAAGCGCAGGAGGAGATATCAGAGAATATTTTTTTATATCAGATTGTCCAGATGCTAAATTGATTCTACGTGCGGCCCCTGACGGAACCGTATCCGGGTAACACACGTTGCTGCAGCTGACAGCGGTCAGCGCTCAGTACAATACGTAACCATATACGAAGATGTACAAAGGTGCCATACAGCCCTGCAAAATGCCATTAGCTGAAGCATTTACCTGTTAGCGCCTCCATGTGGAAATTATTTAAATTTTTTAGCGAATGCCCAAGCAGAGAGCTTATCGGAAGGGATGCCTTTCTGCATTCTGCCCCCGTTTCCAGAATGGCAGTTTTTGCACATTATTCTTGGCGTTGTTGTGCTTAAGAATTAGCCAATTAAATGCAAATGACGTAAGCTCGCGAGAAGGCTTGCACTTGCCGAGGGTCCTCACACACTGCGTACACTTAGCATTTGTGCAGAAGACCCACATCCTTACCCGCCGATTTTTAGAAAGTGCAACGCGTGCGAAAGCACAAATAGAGAGATGTGGCGGTTATCATAGAGTTTTGTACTTCTTGTCAGAGGACAGCTTGGCGAGCGGGAGATCTCGAACGGACGAACTGATGCAAACTTTTCGTCTTGCGCTTGGAGAGCACAGCACCATTGGGATCGGACCAGCAGATGTATCTTTAGCGTTTGGAGTTGAATGGGATGACTTAAACGCTTTGGCTAATGGCGAAAATTTTATGTGGCATCGGGGAGATGCATATGAAATAACCTGGTAAGTATATTGGGAAAACGGTACCATGATAATCCAATTTAAATATTGTACCTCGCAAGCATGTAAGACAACCCCGCGATCTTGGAGAAGATCTTTGGAATCTTAATCAAATGCTCCGCCTTCTCACTCTTTCTCCGTCCATATCGCGCAGTATGAAGGTGTGGAATCCTGATCAGTTGCTCAAAACCAGACCTTGGACGTCAAAGTTGTTGTCGCCTGAAGAACACACGTTCCCCTTCCCCAAGCTTCCCTGCGTTGCCATCGGGCTTCCGTGCAGCCGAATTGGCTTCCTGCCTTTTGGTAGGTAGGTAGGTAGGTAGGTAGGTGGGTAGGTAGGTAGGTGGGTAGGTAGGTAGGTGGGTAGGTAGGTGGGTAGGTAGGTGGGTAGGTAGGTAGGTAGGTAGGTAGGTCCACTTCATCCCCAGGACCTACATTTTCCCACACTGCGAAGTCTCCATTACCTTCCCGCCTGCACGAGCAACACGCGTTTGGTTGCAATATTGACCTGAGTAATTCGAATGGCCAAACAGAGAGCCAACAGAAGAATGCCAACCCTCTTTTGGAAGCCCTAAGTCGTACGACTTGTACAGCTCATCTATCTGATCCCTTTTCCTTACACAGCGCAGGCGGAGGGCTATGTTTTCTGTCCTCCTAACTCAGTGCAACAGTAATGTGTTCAGGTTGCTTCGCTAAATGAGCCTCACGTAGCGGCACTGGCTGAGCAAAATAGGACTATGTTCGTACTTGATATTCTGATGTGTGAAACAGGGGGGTGTATCTTCGCCCGTGGCAGCTACCCTGCGAAATCCTGCCTTCCCCGGTATTTCGGGGCACCCTCATCCAGTCACCCTAGTCAACTTCTCAGTGGATCGCTCAGGTTCCGCACCCACCACCAGCATCCAACGGAATCTGCCGGGTCGACAGCGGCCCAACTCCGTTCCTGGTCGGCTCGCAGGTTAACTTTATCCCAGGTCACCACCGTCCATCAACTAGGGGCGCAATGCCTTCCACCATCGGAAGGACTTTGACCCTAACGGGTATCGATCCCGGGATCTC